TACTGGTCTGTCGAAGAGATTGGCGATGTTGACAGGACACAATCCTTTATATCTATGTTACAAAATTCTGTAAATCCAATTATCTCCCAATTTGATAAATAGAAATAAATGTATAAATGTGTTTAACTGATTTTGACTTAATTATTTTTGGCCAATAATCGTTTTGGTATTTTCCGGCCGATTCTGTACACAATCACGTGATTTGCCCCCGCTTTAGCCATCCCCCACATTAGTATACTCTGCACACAATAATTGGAGTAAATGTAAATTGAGCACTATATCAAATTTAACGATATGTAATACATAATTAATCAATCATATTGTCAATACACCAAGTGTGTTAAATACTTTTTATCGCCCGATGATGATGCGTAACATTGTAAAACACATTTAATAATCTAGGATTTTTTATAAGATCAATTAGTTCATACGTAATCCAACCAAACGATAGCTATTTTACTTTTCCAAATATCACCAACTTTCTCGCATAATAGACCGAATTAAATTTTGAGAAAAAAATTTTGCTAATATTTTGATCGTTTGCAAAATGTTTTGCAATATACTGGATTTATTCTCATAAGATGTTTAAATATATCATTGACTTCATTCATTTTATCGTACAATATTTTGTCACAAAACCACGCACTCGTACGTACTACAAAATATAGTCTACCAGGCCAGGCACTCGATGAATTATACTCTATACTGCGATGTTCCAACTTCGGTTCCAGATCAATCAAATCGACAACTGACAGCAATAATAACACTAATAAAACCGCTGCAAATTTTAACAACTGTAGCTTCCTCCCCACCAAGCAACACCGTTACCTCCACGACCAATATCGTAAACGAGTCAAACGACGACCCATCCAATGACGCCCCAAATGAACCAACCGAAGATAAACCAAAGAGACAGGCCAAACTCCGGAAACTAGCAGTAAAAAATTATGTTCAAAAAAAAAAAAATAATAATAACGGCAGCGGCAGTGTCGAGTTTCTGTGACTTCTATTGACTGCACCATTAACATTAATAATTTAAAACTTAGCCATTCCAAGGTTTTGGTTGAGAGATAGCGAATATTAGTTTATTGCAGTGTTAATTTCATAGAATTTGATTCAAGAGTAATGTGAAAAGCTAGCATTATTGTAATAGTAACATTAATAAACGCCTGCAATTATGAACAGTAATAATAATGATAATAATAATAGAATAGCAATAAATCGTTCTTCCCACTTTCCGTACATACAAACAACTTCCCTTTAACCACAAGCAATATATTAACTCTATATAACCAAGGCTGGCTCAACTATTAACATTTGCATAATAATTAATACATCAGTATGACAACCGAACTATACTGATAAGCAATCCGTCTATCTACTTCTCATTACCCTAGTAAAAACGCAATTAATCAACGAATACTGTACTTACAATGTTTAACTACTACCAGAACAAAACTCTCTAAGCACAATAACAATTACCACCTCCACTAACACATCCAACAACGGCAACATTAGCATGGATACAACCCTACTTTATAAATAAATCTTTTTACAATAGATACCAACTAACACAAACCATATGTGCTTATACAAGCGGTGTTAAAAAAGGAGATAAAGTTAATTTCTTATTATCGATCAACTTAGCGCCGCAGTAACCTTACGTAATTGGTGTTAATATTATGCAAGCGGCGGCGGCGTTGATGACGCAATGGTGCTTAGTAATTTCATGTTCGATTTCCTCTTCAACAATATAAAGAGGATAAGGAGACAGAGCGATTTTTGGAAGCGCGGCTGCTACTATAGTTTATGATGCAATGAATTGCTGAAATAGCATAGTGTAGTATAACAATTGGCCCGTACTTTTATAACCGAATAGAGTACATCGATGTCCTCTTAGGGAACTTACAAAATAAAATTGGCCAACTATCACGATTGAATAAGTTACGCAGCAAAAGTAATAGTGTTAAAGCATTCTTATCTTCATGGGGTTGGTAGAACGTAGTCAGGTAATACGATGTAACACAAGCTTTGTGAACAAGGTTCGCACTTGAGAAAAAATTTTTTTGTGATAAGTCAAACTATGCCGCGGTTAAATCGAACGATTGACGACCTAATTCAAGCCTCCTTAAAAAGCGAACATCAATTCAAAAGGATTCCTGGCGAGCTAATTCGTAATATTAAGCCAACCCAAATTGACGAAGTCTGCTACGCTATTCACCGTCATCAAGGTGCAATTATAATTCCAATTAGGTCCATAGTAATAGTTCGACGTCATCGTCATCGTCGCACACTTGTGGAAGAGTTTGCTAGGATATATTCACTTCAGACGCACGGAAGCGACAGTTTCAAAAGATATTCTACATGGCTCGAACATCGCAACAAACTTATAAAGGGATTTACCCACATCAAATGTATAAAGGGATGTACCCTCACTCCTAACAAGTCTTCCATGGTTGCTGAGAAGCGCTTTTACCATTGCTATTCTCAATATGGATTCTGCACCGCATGCGGAAAACTCCGATGTAGTCCTGTGTGGTGCATCTGTGGACATAAACAATTATCTGATGGATGGACTAGCAACAATATGCAACTCGATGACTTTATAAAGAAAACTCAATTACAAACAAACTCACCGAATGATGCCTATTTGGAATGGATTCCATTTGAGTGTATTGATTTTGTGAATTATGGCGTATACTTGAATGGTCTACCTTGTCAACGAGTGAGCTTGATTCCGCTTGAGATAACAGATGAGACAGATAATCTATATTATGCCGAGGTAAATTATTTACTTATGCGTCAGATTTTTGAATAGTTTAAATAATATTGGCTTATTATTATGTATCATTTCCACTAGTTATGTGATAAACATCCTGATATTCTTACCACGGATGTTTGGCTTACCATCGGATTTACATATGATACAAAGAAACAACAGTATTATCTAATAAAAGAATATTATGAGCATGGATTGTGCCTGGCATGTACACATCCGTTAGAACCCATGATAAATACATTCTGTTACCATTGTAAAGCACCACGACCTATCAATTGGACTACGGGCAACAAGTCCTTGGATTTATTCATTATGGAATCATGGAATAATATAACCAGAACAGATGATGCCTATATACAATGGATAGAGTATTCTCTATTAACAGACATACAGGTATTCTGCCATGGATATGTAGTTACAGCAAAATGGATGATGACACAAGTGGTGCTCAAGTATATAGGCAATATTATTGATTTCTATAAGGTAAGTTAATTCATGTGTAAACACTATCAAGTATACATTATTATATTAATTGTCAGTAATGGTTGTATTGTTTACTCAAATAGCTAATTAGGGAACATCCAAAGATATTGATTCCTGATAATGTTTGGATAATTGGAATTACTCAAGAGCCATCTGCTTTGGGATATTATTTAATTTTCTACTATGATGTGGATGCAATATTGGACAAGTTCATGCATACTAACAAATATGCACAGTATATACAGTATGCTGACTTTTATGAAATTAAACAAATTGGGGTTGGTGGTTATGGGACAGTTTATACTGCCAAATACAATAACTGTTTAGATAAAGAGGATATGTCACAAACTGTTGTACTAAAACACTTTAAGAATTTTAGTGAGATGCCAGAAATATTTATTTCTGAGGTAAGTAATCTCTGACATTATTAGTTAAATGATATTTGGTGTGCGACTCTATAATTATTTTTTGATATATATATTAATATTGAATAGTTCCGAAATCATGTCAAGTGTTCAAATAATGATTTCCTTGATCTTCATGGAGTCACACGAGACCCCAAAACAAAGGAGTACATAATCATTATGGAATATGCTAACAATGGCAGTCTTACATCTTATTTGGCTCAGAATATTAACAAACTGACATGGAGAATGAAATTAAATTATGTATTCGATATTGCATGGTATCTAAACAGTATTCATAATGCGGGATTAGTGCATTGTGATCTTCATGGTGGAAACGTAGTTTTGCATAGTCACAATGATTCGATAAAAGCACTCATATGTGATCTTGGCCTCTCAAGATCAGTGAATTCTCACCAGTCAAATTCAAATATTCGAGGTATCTTACCTTTTATTGCACCGGAAGTCTTCGATACTGGCAAATTTACTCAAAAATCAGACATATATTCTCTTGGTATCATTATGTATTTAATTGCCACTGGTGAACCACCTTTTAGGGATAGAGACTTCGATAAAGGCTTGGTGTGTGATATTATGGGCGGATTACGACCAACTATGCCCGATTCCGCACCAGTGGGATACAAGAAACTTGCTGAAAGGTGTTGTGACATTGATCCTGATAAGCGTCCTGATGCACAGACACTTGAGAAAGATCTTGGTGAACTTAATTCTTACAGCAACATATGGGATACCATATATTACAATAATGTAAAACCCTTATCACGTCTTGAAAAAGAAAGTAAATATTCTAGCATGCTCTTACCCACAGGTAATCTGGATTCAGCTGCAGGTAGGAAGACAACAGTTGGTTATTAAATAAGTTAATTTAAGAATATTAACATTTTTCACTATTTTATAATTTAGCGACTCAAAGTTTGAATAAAGTTGACATACAAAGTTTATTGGCATTTTCTCAGAGTTTTAGTCAATATTTCATATGATTAAATAAAGTATATTATTTATTACAAAGTAAATATTGAGAACCAATTATTATTATCTGAAGTTTAAAAAATGAAGTAATGATCGAAAATTGTGTTACTTGATGTTAATATGTGGATTGCACATTTTCGTCAGTCAGCATCAAATCAAAATAATGTTTCGTGCCGTAATGCACTAGGGATAGTCACGTCAGTATACTAGATTGATACTGAAAATGGTTTAAATATTAGTTCTTAGTTTTTTTTTTGCCTTAATAAACTATTACTACATAGCAAACTTAGAGTTTTCAGATCTCGTTTACTTTCCAGAAAAGACTGTATGAGAGGAATTATTTGCAATTACGTGCACGTTTGAATAATTACCAATATCAGCAACATTAGTCCAAATCATTCCAAATCATTCTTCACACCCAATCATTGTTTATCTGTCTCTCCCACTAGTTTAACAAAACGTAGTCACCAACCTTTTGTCGTCATAATTGAGAGTGAGTATTCTGATGTCTCGTACGTTTATGTTCCTACTCACAACCAGCAGGGAACAGAGAAAGATACAACCCAGAGATTAAACATCAACCTATTACTCCAGATCACATCAGTAGTCATGGACACTGAGAAGTGTTCTAACTCCCACTTAGAAGTTTGCGTCCCCTCCAATTTTATACCCTGGGGTAGTTTAGTACTTGGTGCGGACTTCAAAGCATGACTATCAACAAAATTAACCACTCTCACTTTTGACAAAGACGTTTGCATGCCATTGATTTATTACCTACCTGCAAAGTGTAAATATTGGGCAAGTTAATACTTAAAAAATTTTTAATTATTAATATATGAAAATTAGACAACAGCTTATAAAATTTTACATCACAAGACGCGTCAATCGTAAATTGAGAGCACACGATGGCTTTCGATATAAAATTTCTTCTAAATTTACGTCAGATCAAGGCAACTATGGGGTGCAGATCATCTAAAGCTCGAAATAAATTAACCAACTTTCAAAACCCTAAGGCTTTCCTATTAGATAATATGGAGAAAAACTAATCCATAAGAATGATAGAACAGATGATGCGGAACAAAAGTTACGGTTTAGATTTTTTAGTCAACTAAAAAAGTTTCGAGTTTTAGGGTTTTAAAAAGTTTTCTTATGTTTTCTTAAGTTTCCTTAATATTAAGAAAAATAGAAAATTTCGGACACACCGGTTTGTGTAACTATCAGTTATCCAATAAATTGCATGTAATTTCCACTACTGCCTTGACCACCTCAAAGAAAAGCCGCACACGAAAAAGTGTCTCGAGGTAGGAGAGGCAGATTTATTAGAGGTAAATTTGATTTTATCAATACTGATACAGACGCAGGCACATTGGAGATAATGGAGATGGTATTGGGAGACGATTTATTAAGCGAACAATTTTGAATTACCAAACAAATTAATTCGATCAACTTTCTAAACCAGAAATATAAGCGCACATTATATAAATAAGCATATACTGTTCAATCTGCAACATTAATATTAACGTCGAATTTTACTTTATGCGAAATTTGAAGCGTTTGGACAAAATAATTTTTCAAAATAAAAATCATAAATCCTTATTGTGATTTCAGAACATTTATTGGGCGAATGTCATGTGATTGTTAATGATCTGCAGAACAAATTCGGTCTTTAGATGATTCGCACCATAGTACAATTGGAACTTGTTAAAAAATTAATGAAATGGATCACAGCCATATTCTATGAATGTCAAACAAACCGTTATCGAACCCTAACGCGTCGCTCGTCCATTCAGCATGGCGAACCACCGAAATGGAGAAATAACAGCAGCAGTTTACCCACCACAAGGAGAACGTCTTGACTAACAAATAGAACAAAATTTAATCGATATTTTGAATAAAGTATATTCAATTCCTTACATTCACAGACACACTTTGATAAGCAACCTTCTAGTTTATCTCTAAACATTGATCCAATTATTATTTCTGACTCATGTCGAGCATATCGTCATATTTTAATTATAAAGAATGGTAAACCCTTGAATAAAACTCGTGTAGACTATTTATTCAAAATTTTGAGTCACTAAACCAATAAGACAATCGATAGGTTAATGTAACGATTTTATAAAGATGAACAAGTAACAACTGCTTTCGTCATACTTGCGACTGCTGAATCTAAATCATAACTGTTTCTTGGTTTGGGTAAATCTCCTGTAGGTAAGAGCTTACTAGAGTATTTACTCTCCTTTTCGAGACGTGATAAGGGTTTGACATCATTTTGATAGGTACAATACCACTCAAAGCCGTATGTCTCCACTTTATGCTTGTCAATATCACTCTTAAGTGTCTGTACATCGGGACGCTTATCAGGATCAGCATCACAACAACGCTCAGCAAGTTTCTTGTCTTGCTCTGGTGCGGAATCAGGCATCGATGGTCGTAGTCCGCCCATAATATCGCATACTAGATCTCTATTGAACTGTCTATCTCTAAAAGGTGGTTCACCAGTAGCAATCAAGTACATAATGATACCAAAAGAATACACGTCTGATTTCTGAGTAAATTCGCAGGTATGGAAGACTTCCGGCGCAATAAAAGGTAAGACACCTCGAATGTTTGAATTTGACTCGTGTGAATTCACTGATCGTGAGAGACCAAGATCACATATAAATGATTTTGTAGAATTCGTACCAACATCAAGCACAATTAGTCCAGTTATACCATGCATAACTATATTACCGCCATGAAGATCACTGTGTACTAAACCTGCATTATGAATATCAGCCAGATAATCTGCAATATCCTTCAAATACGATACTTTCATCCCCCACGTCAATTTGTTAATATTTTGATTCAAATAAGACAAAAGACTGCCATGGTTAGCATATTGCATAACAATCATGTACTACTTTGTTTCTGGGTTTTGTGTTACTCCATAAAGCCGAAGAAATGTATTATAGTGTATACACTTGGCATAATTTCTGAACTATTAATAAAAGCAAATACAGCGTTACGCGTTATTATTATATTAAATATCACTTTAATTAACATTTTCAATTATTGCTTACCTCGGAGATAAATAATTCCGGCATTCCATCAAAGTTTTTAAATCGATTGAGTACAACAGTTCTCCCCACCATATCCATTAAATACTTTCTATATTTGGCAGTATAAACTGTTCCGTAACCACCGGATCCGATCTGTTTAATTTCATCAAAGTCTCTATACAGCATGTGCTTAACATATTTGCAACGTTGTACAAAACTGTTCAATATTTTATGCACGTCGCGGTAGAAAATTAAATAATATTTCCGAGTAGATGGTTGTTGAGTGATTCCAACTATCCAAATATTATCGGGAGTTAATATTTCCGGGTATTCCTGTGTTAACTATTTGAACAAATATAATAATTATTATTACAAAAATCAATGCAAATTCTTACTTAATGACATTTACGGTGAAATAATTTTACCTGATGAAAATCAAATAATCGATCGTTTTGTTCGTCAACTATCTCTTTGAGCGTTACATGTATTAATTCATCTATCACTGGATCAAACCAATCTGCCATATGTGTGCATCCATGGCGTAATGATGCCATCTCTCGTACGTTTACCAATGGAGAATACTCTATCCATTGTATATACGCATCATCTACATTCTTTATATTCTTCCACGATTCCATAATGAATGAATCCAATGACTTGTTTCCCGTAGTCCAATCTCGTAGATTGGGTGCTTTACGCCGATAGCAGAATGCCTTTATGTTAGAGCTAAATGGACTTGTACACGTCAGACATAATCCATATCCATTCACCCATTCTTTTATTAGACAATACTTTTGTTTCTTTGTATTGTATGTAAATCCGATGGTAACCCAAACATCTTTGTTAAGAATATCTGGATGTTCATCGCATACCTAATGATGCATAATAATAAGTCAATAATTATTTAAAAATATTCAATAAACATGACGCATAAATACTGTATATAGCTTACCTTGACATCAAATAAATCATGTATCTCCTCCGTTATCTCAGGTGGAATCAATATAACCTTTGTACGATAAGTAGTAGGTAGACCATACAAGTATGCACAATATGTCCCCCTATCATCAATACAATCGTATGGAATCCATTCCAGATAGGCGTCATTCGCTGAGTTTGTTTGTGACTGGGTCTTCTTTATAAACTCATCCAGTTGCTTATTATCACTAGTCCATCCATCGGATAATTGTTTATGTCCGCATATGCACCACACGGGACTACATCGGAGTAGTCCACATGCAGCGCAGAATCCATAGAGAGAATAACAGTGGTAAAACTTTCTATCGGCAACCATGTAATAGTTATCATCATACTCGGTAAATCCTTTTATGGGTTCGTCGCGCTTCTCAAGCCATTTAGAATAACGTCTATACTGACTGACATCATTATTGTACTTGTGTGTTGGGAGTGAGTATATTCTAGCAAACTCACTCACGAATGTTGATGTACAATCTTCGGTGTTTCCAAGGCATAGTAACATTACCTTCGTTTCATTAATTCTACCACTATTCATCGTTCGCTCGTGGATAGCATAATGAACTTTGTCAGTTTGAGTTGGCTTTATGTCTGTAATATTTGAACATGGAAGCCATTCAAGTCTTAAGTTTTTATCTTCACTTTCCAAGGAGGCTTGAATCAAGTTGTCAATTGCTGGATCATACATGTCGTTTGAAAAAGAGAGTGGTTCAACTCTTTATTGTGTTGATCGTTACACCTTATCCAAGGTGTGACAGCCTATCGATTATCCTAGGCTTAAAGCATTAAATGTTACTGTCTAAAGAAAAAAGTCAACGCCGCGTGCTGAGCAATATTATATTCTTGGCTGACATCACTGTGGACTCTTCCGAAGTTTAAAACATCCGACGCAGTAAGCATAAAGCATCAGTTGCGTAAAGAAAATAACGAATTGCTGAGAGAGAGCTTCATTGCTACGGCTTCTACGAAATTATTCCAGAGCATATAATCTATAGATTGTCTATCAACGTGAATAGGGACAAAGAATTATTATTATGATCTCTAGAAAATTTATTTATATATCTCCACATTATCTGCTTGCTAAATTTAGAATATTCTGAGATTAAGGAAATTATGACGATCTAGTTAATGCATGTATTCATAATACATCCATAGTTTTCGATTTGAATTCCTGATAGCGATTGTAAATTCTTTTCAGTACACCAGTATTTACCGTACTCTCGTATTAGCGATCAAAGAACGCATACCTAATCACCTTCAGGAAAAATGGGTTGTAAGATTCAAGAGATAAATAATCGAGCGTAAAAGCGAATAAGAGAAATTTTATTTAAAACATGAGACCGGGTTACGATACTAATTATTCTGGCAAGCTCGCCAATAAATACATGCTTAATTTGGGTGAAGTGGAGGACATGGGTTCTTGAGCTGTTGCATCTGGAAAATGGTATGGAGAAGCTAAAATAAATATTGCGGTAACACTTCAATTAACAGCTTCGACTTATGCAAAGACAGTATTATTATTCACCTGTTGACACCAACACCACAACAGAAAGCCTATTCGGTTATGCCAATACCAACAACCTCCCGAGAACAATACATTATCGCATATTTACAGTCAAGCAATTAATGATTACCTTGTGACCTTCGAAATTCTATCTATCCTTTGGAAAACTTCCATTACTTCATATTATCTGCCAAACGCAAACTCTGTTGGCTGTACCGTGAGAGCACGGACAGACTTCTTGTGATGCGTAAGCGTGACCATCGTCTTGCCAGCAGCCAAATCCCAAAGACGTATAGTCCAATCCCATGGAACCGGTGAGGACCTGTGGATCACTTCCTGACATTTTACATCCGATGGGTGGACTAGCAACAATAAGCAACTGGATGAGTTTATTAAGCAATCTCAATTACAAACAAACTCACCAAATGATGTCTACATGGAATGGATTCCAGACGATCGTATTGAAAATGAGGACTACTTGCATGGTCTACCTACTACTTATCGTACAAATGTTGCATTGATTCCACTTCAAATAACAGAGGGGACACATGTCAAGGTAAACTATATATTTATGCGTCATGTTGATTGAATAATTTAAATAATTGTTGACTTATTATTATATTAGTTATGCGATGAACGTCCAGATCGTTGGGTTACCATCGGATTTACATACAAACAAAAGTATTGTCTAATAAAAGAATGGAATGGATTTGGATTATGTCTGGCGTGTGCAAGTCCATTTAGCTCTAACATAAAGGCATTCTGCTATCGGTGTAAAGCACCAAATCTACGAGATTGGACTACGGGAAACAAGTCATTGGATTCATTCATTATGGAATCGTGGAAGAATATAAAGAATGT